AATTATTGAAGATATATGTTCGCTAACATTACCTTTTGATTATTTAACACAAATAAAGACATCTGTATCCAAGCAAGCCAGATATTGCAAAAATGTGACAATATGGGACAAGATACTAAACCGATTGTCATCAGCAAGTTGTCAAAAGGTGCGCAGTTGGGCCCCGTTTCGGAGTGGTTGAACACTGCTACATTGTGAGGAGGAATTGGACCTCGCTTTCCACAGCCATTATGCCGGAGTTTCTGGCGCGCTTTTGCGGGTATATTTGACGGGCCCAAAACACTCATATACAATCATTTTCCAGTCTCGGGTAACTCCACTGTTCAAAGTATTGAAATCTCGATTTCCACCAGTGCTCAGCCATGGTCTATCTCAACCCCAGGGCAACAAATAACTTGTGTTTGCCACCAGTTATACTCACAAGTAAGAGCCTTATGATCGTCAATTCAGAAATAAGCGGGAATCGGAGTTGCAAGGTGGCAAGTGACATGCTGGTAAGAACGATCTTGTTCCTGAAGAGAGCAGAGCACCTGTCTGGCCCAGAATGACCAGATAATTTTCAGTGAAGAAAAATCAACCTATCAAATGGGTCAGCGAAAATGGTTTGAAACGATCACAATTTACTGCACACAAATGTCGGCATCCCCAGGCATTGAAGTGCAACATCTCACTCACAAATAGCCTCAAGCAATAGATGGACGTAGAGCGTAGATAAAGTGCCCAACGCCCCACCACGATAAGATGGTACAGAATTCCGACGAGTGATAAACGCTCTCTTATCTCGCCCTGCCGCCCAGCTTTGATAACAATTCCGCGAGTGCATCAGTTGTTTTGAAAGAGCTGTTCACTGTTTTCATCAGCAACCGGTTCAGAGCCAGTGGCACTAGGAAGATAACCGATAGGCACCGTGAGAGGAAAATAGGAACCGATCTCCGCAGTGTGAAAGGGTAGATGCTTTCCTATAAGGTCCAGTTTAACAATGATGCGAATTCATGTACTTTCTTAGCAGCCACGAATTACGTGCATTCCAACTTCAAGTGTTAGCGCGAATGTGGGACAGGCATTTGATGAAACACGCATAGTACAAATGGTAGACAAAAAATCTACCACTGCCCGGTCGTAAGGTGGCCTATTTACTTCATCGACCAAACCGTGCAACCTACGAGACCTGACCAGAAAATAAGTAGTATGTTGCTGTTCTAAGCTTTCATTTAACAATCGTCCAAAAACTACTTGTTATCACCTTCGAACTGAGACTCCCGTGAGTCTAAGCGCAGTCAAGTCGCTTTCCGCCAGACTACATCGGAGCGTCGCCTTTGGGATTCTACCATTTCACCCGTTTCAAATTGAGCGCTTTTCGGCATCAGCTTGGGATTTTGGAATCGGATGGAATGACAGGGCGTTAAGGCGGTGGAATGCGAGGGACCTACAAGGGTTGTGCCGCTCTAATTATGCAGAATCTACACTCAGGTTGTTAACCTAGCACACCTAAGAATTATTTCTAACTTGTTTATACTAAGGCTGTTGAACTGTTTACCAGCTTGACACTAATTTTACCACAATGCCTTCAGACACCAAAAAATTTATAAACCGTTTCTTGAACACCAAACGACTCATGCGTCCTGTTTCGCAAATTCTAGAACTTCGTGTGTCTAGTTTATTCATTGTCTCGTGGTTTCTGAATCGAATGTCGAAATGCACAGCTCATAGACTGCGAAGCATTGAAACGGAGATTGGATTCTTTACTAACGCATACCGAGAGATCAAAGAAAGTTCCTGTCCTATAAAACAGATAGATATAGGGTATTACCCGTCCGCACACCACTTCGCGTTTCAATCTTGTGTGATCACATTAGGTAGAAAGATCAGGCATTGAACCCGGGACCACTGGGACCGTAGCTGAGGAAATAGAAGGAAATTGGGTGTTTCCTGCCCAAAAACACTGCACAACCACGACGCGTTTCGATGCAATTTCATCTCATCAGGTGGAGACAGCAGGCCTCGAACCCGCGACCATTGGAATAGTAGCCGAAACCTCTACCCTTTGGCTACCGGGTCACGGCGGGAAACGCTTGGCACAACGGTTAATGACTAATTGAGGGGTCAGTTTTGGACTACACATTGTGTGATTGGATTGCGACGCGCAATCTCAATGTAATGGACTGTGGTTCACATTGAAGTGAACCCCGGTCGCTGCGATCACTGGGACCGTAGCTGATGCAATAGTACGAAGTTGGGTATTGCTCTCCCGAAAACACTGCAACCCACAACCGAATTAGAACTTATAATTTGACAAAACGGTTAGGACGACTTTTGTACAAAGTTACCCGGTGCTCAACTCCTCTTCGGTTAACATGAATGCATCCAACAATTTCTTTTTCAAATTCAGCATTCCCGTGGACATCGCTTTACGTATCTTTTAGTATTGTACATAAAATTACGGCAATGTTTTCATCAAATGTTGATGCGATGGCCAAAATGCACAGGTGCTGGTTTGCACACAGTCCCTACCACTTAAAGATCCCTTACGCCGTTTAAAAGATTACATCACCGTAAGCTTCTGAATTTGCTTGATATTTGTGTAATTTATTTTCACAAGAAACTGGACATTAATACTCTGGTCACTTCCCGTATCCGACGTTTTTCTAATGGGTGGAAGTAGGTGACTGAATTTAACAGCCCACCTGCTGCGACTGTGCTGAAACTTGTCATCCTGTCGTGCACGCGGTGTACGACATGAAAACCAACTTCTTACCCATGTGGTCAGATTTTAATGTTGAGTTCAGATCTCTCAAACTTGGAGACCAAATCTCACCGGAAGCCTTCGAGGTGATGGTTAAGGAAAACATAGCATTTATGTACGAAGTCGGAAACTAACATGTCGGTACCTATCGGGATATGTTCCGACAGTGACCTCTCCATATTACTGGAAAATGCACAAGGCAAACGTGTGATCACACACACGGAACACGCCTTTTAAGGCCAGTGCTTGTGTCGCACATCGATTTCAGTGAAAAGCGATTGTGAACGGCAAGAGTTTGTCGCATTTGCGATTACAAATTAAACCGGAGGTGGAAAAACGGGATTTTTAAATGACGACCTCATAATGACATAAAAGTTGTTGGAAAAGCCGATATGTACACGTCGTCGTCACAAGAAACTCAGCCAGAACACATAGAGAGATGGTGGCTAGCTTTAAAAGGTCATACGGCACAGTCGTTTGGAAGGCTGCCGGAGCTCATAGTGTTCTCGGACAATACCTACATTTCAACAATTACTGTCCAATGAACTATAAACGATCCCTAGTTTGAACTTGTTTTGTTAGAGCACACTGAATATGCTCTGAAGAGTCAATCGAGGCTGAATTACGATACATCGAATCTAACCTACGCAATAACGGCTATCCGAATAAATTCATCGTCAGGTATGGGAATGAGGTTGCTAAGAAAGTAACACGAATGGATGTCCCAAAGAAAAAGGTCTTCATCACGCTACCACAAAAAGCGGAACAGAACGACAAAAGATTGTTCTACCGATTACGCCATGCCATAAAAAGGTGCTACTACACACCTGAGCTCGTGTTGTTACATTAAACCAAGAAGCTGTTCTATGAATCCAACTTGGATAGACCTCACCCTCAGGTTACCGCCTCATGTGCTTACCAATTCACCTGTACTTGCGGTAGCATGTACATTGGCCGAACCGAGAGAAGGCTCTCAACTAGGATCATGGAACATGTTCCACGGAACCTGGCAAATAGTGGCTCTGAATTTCCTTCCAGCGCAATCACTCAGCATCTGCTCGATTGCACCTTGTGCGAAGGCCTCATTCTCAGATTCTGAGAGGAGAAGAACACGCCAACCAGAATTATACCGCGATTTACTTTAAAATAAATCTGATCAAACTTGACTTCACAGTAAATGGCAGTCCACTAAGAGATTGCCTGTCTGATTTCATGCTCCCCTCTACGGTTCTTTTTGCACGAATAAGTCGACCACAAAATCTGATTCTCGCTGGCATGTATGCTTCGTCCACATTAAACCAATAAAGTAGCTGGTCGCCAGGCAAGTGATTCGACGCTTTGATGAAAAGACAATGAGGTGCGCGCAATCTGTCACCGGACCCGACGGTCGATATACAAGACCGCGGATCGCAATGCGAAACGGTATAGCAGACCAATTCAGTTAACTTGCCCGAGTCAGCAGGAAGTAGGCTTAAAATCGTCCTAGAAATCTTACTCGTCAGTAGTGTGCATTCATCGGATCCAACAGAATTCGTACCCATCACCACAAACGGTATGGACTGCCATCCAGCAGTCGGTACCACAGAGTCACCAGGGAATGAGGCGAACCGCCATGATTTACAAACGAACTGCGTCGCCGCTATCCCCCATCGCTTAGTGTCCTGAGATTCTGGTTGTCGGTTTAAGCCCCTACTGGTCATGGGCTTGGATCCTGATATGCCGTCCGGTTGCGCACTACAGACAAATCCCAATAGGACAAAACAGCCGCATGGTGCTTTTCCGGGCATGTAAAAGACCATCTTATTTGGAACCTATAGCGAAGAAATCCCCGAGATTTTACATCAAAAGTCCCCTACTCACGAGTACATCCTACTCTGTGTATTTGGTGACAGACATTCTGGGAGCACGATCAACCGGACGTGTATAGGTAAACTCACTGTGAAGTTTAGTTGCAGATAGACTCAGGCAAACGCGCATCACACATCCAGCAAAACGTTAGACGGCCGTTTCATCCTATTAGAACTCGTCAGTAGCGCGCACCCGCCGTACCCTGCCGGATTCGAATCCTTGAGCTTACTCTTACGACTCAGCGATTTATGCCACTGAGACATGGGTGACATCATTGGACTGCCATGATTATCTAACTGTGATATAGCGAGGCCAATCCTCAAGTGTTATGCATGCGATTGTCAAGATTTGAATAAAGCCAGTTACGCTAGCGTTACCCCTATGGGGCCCTGGGTCAAACTGGTGGCGCGCATCAGACATGGCAGAACTCGGAGGTAAAATTCAATGGTAACATCCGGTAAAATATAGAGCTAGAAAGTGTTCAAAATAACACAGCCGTAAAATGAGAACAGCGGAGAAAATAGGCAAAAGATGGCATTGCATGATTCGGGAATGGGGGGGGGGCAGGTACGAAAAGTCAGATACGAAAAACCTTACTGGGATTGAGCTTCCGTCAAATCAATAGTTCCAAAAGAAAAAAATAGCGCGCAGATGGACCGGGTGTGTAAACTTTGCTTGTTCGGAGTGCAACGTTGTTAACTGCAACGAACTTCGATGTGGAGCAAGGAACGCTGAGACCTAGGCGTACTATAGAGGAGGCGCCAGTCAGATGACATTCGCCAATTACAGTTAGCTGGTCAAGTGTAGTTTCCCCATCTGCATCACGGGGGGTTCAACGTTACTGGAGATGGGTGGAGGCAAACGTTCGGTGATGTTCTTTGGTATAGCCGAGGATTTGGGATTAAAAGGCAGTGTATAAAGTTGCGAGTAACGACAGAGAACAGGGCTGTCTTCCATCTGATCGTGTGAGCTGGAGAACATGGCATGGACAAAGTCACCGGTTTGAACAACGGGGTCGGTCGCGTGCGGTAAGGTTTTATCCGAGCTTGGTCGTGTTGATGTGTTCCCAACCGGATGATTCTGCTGAGACAACAGTGGTGGTCGAATGGCCGTTGCTTGCTTCTGAGAACTTGTTCTCATCGGAGGTCTTGGGGGAGGGGATCGAGGGCAGGCATTTTTGTGCCAATCACTTGCATCGCAAATGGAACTCAGACCGTCAATCGTTTGATGCTCTCGCTCGATTCCACTACAAGAGTGCTGCATGTGAACCCATACATCGTTCGGCAGCGTTTCAGACTTCTTTAAACGCTCGGACAAATTCTGGGGAACTGTGGACACTCGATAGGGGAGCAACTGAGCCCAGGCTGTTGGCGGTGAGAGTGATCCAAGGATTCGACGGTCCCCGGCTTGAGTGGTTGGCAGCTGGTAAAGAGCGGCGTTCACATAGGAGGAATTTTTCCGTTCAGCTCGAATCCTCTGACTAGTCCTCAAGGGACTGGACGGTGGGTCGCCGACGATGTTGAGGCTGGGTAATGCGGTTCTTTTCGGTGTCGGTGGATGACTCATATCCAATGGTGTGTGTGCCAGAGACACTTTCGGTCTCATCACTCTAAACGGGGTTGGGCGTCGACTTTCCCCAGGGGTAACTAGTTCAGTGCCGACCCCTCGATTTTGATGGAAATGCATCGCGTGCAATTTGGGCGATTCCACTGTGCTGCGTTAGAGAAACAGGAATGACAATCAATGCGTGTCTGATGAACAACACTTCATAAACTGGACAGTCGTAATAACCTGACAAATTTGTCACCTGCTCACATAATGCTACTAGGGTGGATGGTCAGAAGGTGGACGGTTGACAAGCACACGGCCTCACCACACACAATGGGTGCAGTCGTTCGCGTGAGACCACAGAAGGCGTGTAGTCGACCGGACGGGGCATACTACACGCCCACGCGGCAACCCGATTGGCAGGTGTGGAAATGGGGCAGACATGCACTGGGCCAATCCGGTCGGTGTGCTGGAGGAAGACACGTGCGCCAGCACAACAAAGTTCACTTACTCATGAATACATAAAGTCCCAAGTGTATTTAGCCGACACCCGACTAGTTAGAGCCGTTACGTAAGCGCCTTTCAAAGCAGGCGTCGTTGCTGTGATTCACACAGAGGCGGGAATGTGCTGCCGACAGCCGTGGTAGAAGGCAAATAAGTCGTGAAAGTGCCTGTCTCCATTCTCGTCTGTTAACACGGTTTAGTTGGAAAATACGAGAGAACGAAATAAAAGCCACTCGGAAGACCAGCTGCATAACCTACGTCCATATTTCAATAATGAGCATAAAAACCATTTTCGGCGGTGGTACTTTTCATTTGACATTAATTATGGCATTCTAAAGAAAAACAGTTTCATTAATAGGAATCGATATCGGAAGTCAGTTAGGGGTAAAAAAAATTCTTTTCGGTAAACTCATCACATCCAAAGGTTTACGTAACACGGATTGTGGGGAAAGCGTCAACTCGGGCTGGGATTGATTTCGGGCTGCTTGAACGATCAAAATCGATAACTTGAGACAGGGATTTAGATGAGGGTATACGGGTGTTCTCCGAGCTGGTTAATTTGGTTGCAGACGTTTCATCGTCAGGCTAGACGACATCGTCAGTGCGGTTTATGCGAGCCACTTGCAGATCCAAGTGGCTCGCATAAACCGCACTGACGATGTCGTCTAGCCTGACGATGAAACGTCTGCAACCAAATTAACCAGCTCGGAGAACACCCGTATACCCTCATCCGCATCCCGAGCTACAAATATTCTCACGGATTTCTAAGGGATTTAGATGGTATACCAAGTGAACTAAGTAAACATGCATACACAAAGCTCAGTAGTCCGAAGTAATTAGGTAGGTAAGATAACAAACAAATAACTAACAGGCAGTTGGCCAAGATAATAGTATCGACCGTATGAATCGTTGTTCGTACACGTAATTCCGGCTTCAAATGGTGTATGTAGATAGCCTCGGCGATGGATAAGAGCTGTTTGCGGAATCCTTGGGAGAAGTGTTCAGGTAGTGAGTTAATGACTTTGAAGTCATTCTCTGAAGCTGTATGGCCACATTCAAGGAGGTGCGACATGACTGAGCAGTCTGAGCACCTCATTTCGCCTTTGTAAAACGATGCCGGGATGGGTTCGTGGATCCTCTGAGATAGGCGCCTCATCGTGCGACCCACGTATCGTGCACCACAGGAGCACGAGTACTGATAAACGATCATTGAACGGGTCCACGACGGCAGTCTATCCTCCAAGGGTTTTGTAGGCAACGGTTTGTTGTGAATAATGGTTCTCAGACGGGCAGCGAAATAAGTTTTTTCAACAGCATCTTTCAGGCGTCGAGATAATATATCAGCTGCAGAACCGCCCTTAAATGGTATATGTATGAAAAGCTCTTTCTTAGCAGCAATGCTCCTAGGTGCCTTTCAATTGCGTTCCTTCAAATGCTTCCTGAAAATTTTCTCAGGATAACCATTTTCCCTGAGGGCGCCGCTGATTCTCTGTATTTCTTCGTTGACGTTATCCGGTGTACAAATACCGACGCGCACTGAAGGCAAGAGATCTGATTAAACTTCGCTTATGCTGTAGAGGTGGTCGCGAAATGCTTCTAAACGTGTAGTTTGCAAGAGCCTGCATCAGTATGGCCTCAAGAACTTTGGTTTCAAGGGTTAGGGTTTTCCAGACGTGAAGCATTATTGTGCTCCATGTGTTGGGACGCTCTACTGTGCAACTGTTTGCTCTTTATGAGATTTCGCTCTCTAATCTTGTAGCGCTAGTATGGGTGACATCGATGAAAAAATGGTTTGGATGACACACAAGCTATCACGTCAGTAAATGATCTGGGGAGAGCTATACTATTTCGCCGGGCCGCATAAATGAATAATAAGTCAGGAACAACAAAGTACCCAGGAAATGTAAGCTGGTTGTCCATCCACGTCTACGCATGACGCAGGGTGGGCAATGGAGCCAGTTAAAAGATACATTTCGAACAGCTGACCAAGATAAGGCAAGAACTACTAGCCTCTGAATTCCAACCTAGCTTAGGCTATCGCCACCTGATGAGTCCAAACTAGGACGTAACCGCGGTCGTGGTGTGCCAGTGTTGGGAGAAGCAACACGGAAAAAGTTCTATTTCGGATACGGTCCTCGCGATCGGAATGACCGAGGTTTACCTCAATGTGAACTGAGGGCCCCATGGAGGTTGAGTGTCGCAACCCGACCACACAGCAGTTTACGTTAATTTCACTGGCCATTGCTTCTTTCATCAGCTGACGATCGTTTCCGAGACATTTATGGACGCTTATCAGCGTTCTAGTTTGCTTGCCGCATATGTCCGATCATTTCGTTTGTGTGTCTTCGTACAATCGCAATACGATAGCTCACTGAATCTTATGGTTTGGACACGGACGCAAATGAAAGTAGGCGAGTTATCTATCAGTTGTTGTTGACTGACCTTGGCGAGGAAACAATCAGTCTGGGGTTGAACAACTTCGTGTGGCCTGATGGGTGTATGCGGTCGACCCAGCGATCACAGGCGCTTGTTGAACGTGCAATCAAAGGGATTTTAAAATAAGTTTCCTGTAGCAAGTGATCAACCTATTACCATGCTTCTTGCAGTAAACTTGAAGCAAGCGAGCTAAGGCTGATCAGCAGATGGACAGACTCATTCTGGTTCTGTGCGAAGTGCAATACCGTCCCACTAGTCAACAATGTAAGTGCACTGTTCCATAAGTATGATAGGTCGGCAGAAGTGACGGAGCAAATTTTGGGCACCAAAATAGCCTCGGTAGAAACAAGCGTCGCAGAACGTATGACACAGGCTTCCCCACCGAACTTTACTGCCAGCCAATTCAACAACGCCTCATGCTGTATTAACAAAATGACTCCTGCAAGCACCACCACTACACCAAATCGCCCAGAGTTCCCCGAACAATTCGCCTCCAGCACACTTGCAACAAATTCCACTAAAACCTTCTTTCTCCCACAACGCTTCCCTGAAATATAGGAAACCAGGCAATGGCAGTGTCAGCTGGGCCGTAATAGCATCCAAGAGCACACCAACATCGGCGACTGCTGATGCTACTACCACCCTCATACATTAACATAGTCCTGTTCATTTTCCTTGGCAGTTTGCTCCGTCCACTTTTATTTTCTTCCTTCTTCTAAAGACTATCATTATGTACATAAGACACCTCCGAGGACATACATGCGACTCCCACCTGACCACGGATTCAACACATATCGTTAAATCATACGCACTTTGCTATCCTAAGACCCTAAAAGAAATCTGGAAAGCAAATCTAATGAATACGAGTCACCTGTGTTGTCCGACTTCAGCAGCTCCAATCACTCGCGGTCGACTCCGAAGAAGCCAACCCCACAGCCATAGGAAACTAATTGGCGAAACATGACTGCGAATAACCGCAAGGACAATCGGTCAGATGCAAATTTCTTAATGTCTATCACGGGTCGGAAGTGTTCCAAGACGTGGTGAGTTTTCGCCTGGCAAGCAATCTCCCAACAAAAGGTCACAAAGGTCTGTTTAACAACACTGCGACGTGGCGGATGTGACTCGCCACTCAATAAAGTCACGGCCCCAACCTAGCATTGACAAGTTGACCGATACCACACGCACAAGTGCTGTACATATACCTGCTCTCACACGACTACGCCTACATGTCTGAGCAGTGGTATGTCACTATCCGTAAAACTTTTTAACAGCTTTCGCCTCGTGCTTCACTCACCTGACACGCACTGTGCACACATCCTCATCGGACCACTTACTCACCAACATAATCCACTTCAATGATCTAATTCTTATCTCTACATCCAACATTCTGTGAGGAAAGACTTCATTTAATCATTGGGCCATGTGAGCCCAAACTAATGAGGACATCAGTGCTACTCCTGCTCTTGGTCCTGCTTAGTACGCCCTAAAATGTACAACATTGCACTAATCTGATCATGTCATATTTGGTTGGTACGTTACCTACCTAATTACTTCGGACTACTGAGCTTTGTGTATGCATGTTTATTTAGTTCAGTTGACATACCACCTATATCCCTGTGGCTGAATTTGTTCCCTAGTGACAATACCATTACTAGATGGTTTGGTCTTAACGTATTCATGACAATTATGAACTAAGCTAGATTTGAGAATCTAAACATCACTTGACCTGGTTGGAAGCAGGTCTTTAGTCTGAGCAATTAGGCATTCAAACTGCACCTCTAAATCCGCCTGATCCATTTTCTTACATGGAATGCAAAACTTTGGACCTAATGATAACACATTCAACTGCGTCTAGGTTAGTATCACACTGGAAAGGTTAAGCACATATCGTTGCGGGTTATTCGGAAGTGTCAACTGGGGGACATGGCAATTAATCGTATTAACAAACTTGCTTGGTTTGCTAACTACCATTTTCTGTTTAACCAGTTCTACATATTCCTCAAAAGGTTGTCTTAAGTCTTCAGGCAGGTATAACGACGCTGGTAATCTTTGTGAAATTAATCTCTCCAGCTTCGACATCTTAACGCGGATGGTGTCCACATAATAGAGTGCAAGTCTCTTCAAGGGTTTTGCATTTGGGCATGGTTTTACAAAGGCGAAATGAGGTGCTCAGACTGCTCAGTCATGTCGCACCTCCTCGTATGTGGCCATACTGCTTCAGAG